TGTGTGTGTGTGTGTGTGTGTGTGTGTGTCCTTTACCTGTATGTAATCTGTAAAACCAATAAACTTCAACCACCTAATAAAGAAGACAAAAAAAAAAACATTTTAGTCTTTTATTTAAGCTTATATGTCTGCCATAGTACAAGCGTTTTTTTTTTTCTACTTCTCAATATCAGTTGCTGAGTGATAGTTTGAAGTACAGTAATCAAACGCTAAAAAAAAAAAACTTCTTCTGATGATAAAAACTATTTACTGTTCAACGTGTCCGTATGTTTCTGCTTCTTTTGTTTTTTACATATAGAAAACATTATACATATAGTTTGACAGAAGTATTTTCATGCATTTCCTACGTGTCGTAATAGTTTTGCAACAACAATTTTTCCTTTATTATACATCAAAAAAACAAAAAAAAACCCATCCATTTCACCTGATTAAACAGGTATATTTGATAAGTATTTGTGTTTGACCAACAATAAAATTACAGTAAAAAACAACAATGTTACAGAAGTAGGAATTATCCTGTATCATATCCAATTGCAAAATTTCCTTTTTTGCTATCATCATTCTTTCCCAGTTGATTATCAACCATAAGAAAACAGTAATGCTGTTCACTGTTATTATCCATTAATTTAGACAGCATTCTAAATACATGGCAAAAAAAAACCGTTTTATTGACTATAGGTTTCTATTTTTTTTTCGTTTGCATGTACCTAACAGCGTCATGGTATCTATCATCTATACAATAAAAACTATGCAGTATCAACTTTTATACTAAACTAAGCTGGTCAATGAATATTGTTAGACTACTAATCCTTTTCATTCTTCTCTTTTTTTTTGCTCAAAAAATTCAAATTTACCAGTGCTGCTGACTTATGACTATATAATTACAATGATGCATATTTATTTTCCCCTGAGTTGTTATAGGAATTATTTCAAATATACATTTTGTAAGAAAAAAAAAACACACTTGTGGTTATTTGACTACAGGTTTATCAATTTCATGAAACAATCATCATACTCATCAAATTTAAACTCTTTGCTGCAAAAAATTATCACATAGACTTTCATTCAGCAACATTAATTTCCATTTCTTAACCCTTTTTTCATTTTTTCAATATGACTAAGGGGAAAACAAAGTTTATGCCCTAATTGCAGAAAAAAAAAAAGCTTATAAAGTGTCTATCATTCAATGGAACTGAACTAGGCTATGACTAACTGTAACCATTCACAATTTTGACACATCCATCAGAAAGAAAAAAAACTGTTAAAAACAACAAGACAAATCACCTTACAAATCGTTATTCTTTTATCAGTTGCAGTCATGGTAATATTTGCAACTGATAAGAAAAAATGGTACTAATCCCAAAAATTTTCACTACCAAAATCAGAGAAAAAAAAAAAAAATTTTGAACTAGAAATTATATTGAGGCAATACCAAATGTAAAAATACACCAACGACCATTCCCCTTTGAATGTACTCTTAACTGTTACATACTTATAAAATTTAATTTTAAAATAATGTCTAGACAATTATTCTGGTCATTAAACCGAACAATTATTGCTGTATGTACAGTCGATGAACCTCTCAAATTACCATTAAAGTCCATCTGCATACCAAAATGTCTTAAAATCTAGTTGCCATTACAAAACGCCTGAATTCTATAGACAACAGAATAACAAGTGTAAAGGCTACATGACACTTTATTTCACACCCTTTTCATTCGGTAGCCTCATTCAGAACCAATGCCTTGAGTGATATTAAAAACCAAGTAACAGCAACAAATTCAAATCAATTAAATTTTGATCAACTATCAAAGATTATGGCAAATGAATATCCGTCAGTAGCACGCTATTATGCTGGCAAAAAAGTATTGCGCACAAAACAATGGCTATAATTTTTAGTAATTAATACGTTTCTTAATATCAGTGTAATTCCCTAAGGAAAGCTGCTCTTTTTTGATTTGTTTTTACTCTCTTCGATTTTAAATTCTTTGGCCAGACAAAATCCTCTCATTAAAAAACCATTATTTGCAATGATCAAAATACAATAAATCATTTCACTTTTTTAAAACAAGAAATTATTTGCAAATGAAAAACGAATCACAAGCTTGTAAAGGGGAACGTATATAGCTCTCGTACCATCAATAAGGCACAGGTCATTGTTAACTCTTTATGACTAGTAAGTAATCTTAAATTTTCTTTAAAGCAAACTATTAAAACATGCCAACGCATTTGTACGACTGAAAAAGCAAAAGTTTATCCAAGCAAATACAGCTGAAAAAAAAAAAATTTAATTCTAGTATCTGACTTATTCCAAACTGAGGATAAAACTTACTGTAAACAACAAATAAATAAATTACAGAAAACAAATCCTTTAACTCTCAAAAGATACTTTGCTGTCAAAACAATTCTCCAGCAAATTATAAAGTCCTCTGCGCCAAGTGTAACAGTTTTTACGGAAACTTTATGTCTTACAAATTGCAAGTGAGACGACCCCACCAATCTAACTTCCAAAAAAACAAAGACCTCAAAAATTCATTTTTTCAAACAATCCTCACTCTTAGTTTTGTGAAGTAAACAAGCAAAAAAAAGCCTACTTTCAAGTATGCTAAGTACTGACAAACATTAACGCCTCCTTTAACCAGCTTCCTTAATAATTCTTCAAAAAAAAAAAAAAATGCACTTGGAGAAACAAATAGGTAAAGCCTAAATGAATGTCCTGCAATAAAATTTAAAAAAGCTCAAAGCTGAAAATGAAATAGCCTTTCACTTCCAAAATAGACTACTAGTTACACCAGTATAAACGTCTGCCAAATATTTAACAACCGACAGATAACAAGGACTTAACAAATTACACTATCCAAATAACTAATTTTGCTATGCCAAATGCTTTTAATCAGTTTAAAAGTCTATTTGTTTCCATCTCACCAAATAAAGCAAAGAAATTCTTATTCAGGCCAGTGTGAGTCACAATCTTCATAAACCGGTTCATCTACAGGCAAAACTTTTGGACAGAAAGTGTCTAAAAACAGGTTCCAGAACTGAGATCACGGCTAGTAGCCATAAAGACCATAACTCTACAACCACTATAGATAAATTCACCTGATTTCTGCTGAAAGCATGTAATATGTATGCTCGTACTAACGCTTAACCAAAATAATGTCGTGCCGAATACCAAAAACTACATAATTAGCTAAAAACTTTTATTAGATAGTGACTGTCGGAATCTTCCACATAAAGCATAAAATTTCATAGGTGGCAATACACTGTCATAATCATCTCCACTAGCAGTGCAAGGTCTTTAATGTTGAAAAAATTTTCGAATTAACCAATTTTTTTCGTTTTTTTAGATTTTATAGTTCTTACAGAACTAAACATTTTTATTCTCTTATTGCTTTGCTTGAAATTCACCGGAAAGTTCTAAATATTACAAAGAGCTGTGAAGAATTTTTGCTAAAAAAAATGAGTTGATCAAATACGAAAAGGTTGAGCTAACATAAAGTTACTATATGATAACAACAAGACT